GTCAAGAAGTGCCTCACGAAAAGAAGGAACCATCCCCACCACAGTCACGAAAACAGACGGACCAACAGAAGTTAGCGCCGAATCAACTCCAACATCACCCTCAGCTTCCAAAGGTGCCATTACAAATGACGCTGACAAAGGAAATGAAGAAGGCATTCCAAAACATGATCAAGCACCTGATGGTGAAGCGAAGAAAGAAGCACAACAAGGTGAAGATAAAGAAGAAAATACAAATAAAACAGCAACTGTCGAAGCCGCAGCTATAACAAATGATGCTGCGACTACTGGCGACAGCGACAGCAGCACCGCGGCCTTCCACACCACCTCCCCTCCTTTGCTTCTTCTTGTTGTTGTGCGGCTGCTGCTGCGGTGGTGGCCGCGTGAGAGTGAGTGTGAGAGAGCCATGCACCGTCCGCACACACACTCGTCCTTCTCTCTCTCTGTGTGTGTCCCCTTGCATGGACTCTCGCCCTCACCTCACCCCACGAGGCACACACAATAATGTGCCCATTGTATATATGCATGCACACCCATGCAGGGCCGTTGGTGCTCTCTTTTGCACGACACGCACCGCTGCCGTCCTGCCTGGCTGCATGGACGGAGCACCGTAACTGTTTCTGTTTTGTTTCTATTGCATTGAGTGGGCGACCTCTCTCTCTCTCCCTCTGTGTGTTTTGCTTTACGGGAGTAATGAGAGTGTGTGTGCGCTGGTCGTCCCACGCCTCGGCTTCCCGTCACGTGTGTGTTTTGAATCTCTGCTTGTGTGGTGGTTGAATGGACGTATTTTCATTAACCATCATTTGTTTCCTTGTGTGGTGACGTTTGTGTTTTATTTTTCTTTTCAACCAATCAGTCTTTGTTGCCTCAGCAAGCCAATAAATACCTTTCCAACAGTCACGCCGATGGTTCAGTGGCTCTTCGCCTCACCGTGCCCTGCAGCGCTGCCATTGCTGCTCATGATGTTGACTTTGATGTGTTGTTCCAGCGGGTGCTTTGCTGCCAGCCTGACGTACCATTGCTCCTTTGACGATGCGATGCGTGTCGACAGGACGAAATCGATGCCGGTGGTGATGAAAAACGTGCCTTCGGGAACGGGAAGTGCGTCGCAGACATACACCGTCATCGGGGAGAATGGATGGGCACCCATCCGCATCAATGTGTCGACAAGGGACCTGGATGATGCCAGTAAGTATTGCAGCTCAGATTATTCTTACGTGAAAAATCCATTGACAGGATATTACGATTGTCAGGGCGATGCTCTTTCCAGTAATAAGAGGAAAGTTCTCATCGACAAGGTTGTCCCTGCAGCTGTCAAACTGCATGCGGATCGTCTGCTCGTCCAGCCACTGGAGGGTCCGTTGGTTGTGCCCCAATTTGCCGCGGGCAGTGTTTGCAGTCGTTTCACTGTGCCTGCTGAGCATCGTTCCAAGGGCGTTGCCAATTCTGACATGATGCTGTACGTGGCTGCAGCGCCGGGTGGTGTGTGGGCACTGCCGTGCGCCACGCTGGAGGATGGCCGTCCCGTCGTTGGCGTCATGAACATTGCCCCGGCCGTTTTATTTCACGGACGCCTCGCCACCCGCATCGCCGCGCACCTGATGGCCCATGCTCTCGGGTTCGCCCACCCGCACATGGCCAGCCGCAGCATGGTGAGGAATGTTACCGGTGTGCGTGGCAGGGCGCTGTCGGTGGTGGTGAACTCGACGAATGCCGCGATGGCTGCGAGGGAGCACTACGACTGCGACGACATTTATGGCATGGAGCTACAAGATCAAAATGGGGACGGGGGTACGCTGGAGTCGCACTGGTCACAGCGCCACGCGAAGGATGAGTTGATGGCACCGATTGGGGGCGCCGGCTACTACACGGAGCTGACGCTGGCTGCATTTGCTGACCTGGGCTACTTCAAGGTGAACTGGAAGTTGGCGGAGCCGATGGGTTGGGGCAAGAAGTCGGGCTGCGAGCTGCTGCAGAAGAGGTGCTCCGAACTGAACCTGAGTAAATATTCCCACATGTTCTGCAACAGAGACGAGGTTGTCGAACGCTGCGCGTCGGATCGGTATTCCCGCGGTTTGTGTCGGCGGAGCATCATTGAATTCTCAAAACAGCACTCAATGGACAGTTGCCCCATCATTGATCCCGCGATGGACGTGAGGGACCTTGAGGCTGTTTTTGAGAAGGAAGGATATTTGTCTGCGAGGCCCGGGGATAAGCCCTCTTCGTGGTGTCTGGACACGCTTCCCACCAACACGACAGATGGAAGGTACCCGGAGGAGACGTATCTGAGTGCTGCCATGCATGCGGAACTGAAGTGTCTTGGCATGCAGGTGCATGTGAGGGTTCCCGAAAAGCGTAACGTCCGTTGGCTCCCATGCACAGAAGAGGAGACGATTACGTGGGACACACCACCCTACAATAAGGAGAATGTCATTTGCCCTAAGTACGCGGAGGTGTGCACGATATCCGCCACCGGCGGCAGTGTGATTCCCGTAGTTTCATGGGACGACGAGGAGAGGGTGTGGGGCAGGACGGTACGCCCGGAATTCTTGAGACAAAGTTCACCAGAGGCGCCCGTACCTGGTGCAGAGAGTATTGGGTCCGGCCGTGGCACCGAATCGGAGAATGCTGACTCAGCTGCTCTTCAGTCGAAGCCATTGCCACAGGGAGACGCCGAGGCTGCCGTGGCGCAACACGACCACCAAGCGGGAAGCAATACCAGCACTCCAACAGGCCGTGAGAGGGAGGCAGCACCAGCCGCCTCTGGCGAAAACAACAATTCGCCTACGGCCGCTGTTGCAGGAGCAGGTGAATTTGGGACAACGCACAGCGAGGATTTCTTCACTACGGAAGTGGAAAGCCCGATGGGGGAGGAAGAACCATCCGCGCCGGAGGAGGGAGCAAACTCAACAACCCTGCAGTCAAGGGAGACCACTGAAGATGGGGATGCGCAGCCAGTACAAGAGAGCGTGGCGCCTCTGGCTGGAAGTGAGGGATTGCTGCCCAAACAAAGCGAGGCCCCTGTTCCAGAAAATAACCACTCCGAATCCGGGAGCGGCGCGAGCCAAGACGACCGCCTCGCCCTGCTCAAAGACGCGAAATTGATGCTGCATGATTGGAATGTCGACAGCACTGCGCGTGTGTGCGTGTCTCGGGTGTCGATGCTTCTTCTTCTGGGACTGTGTGGAGCTGTGGCAGTATTGTGAGGCAACGAGTGTGGCATTGCGACTCCAGACGGAGAATACGTGCCGCTCTTCATGCGGTTTTTGATGTTTTTCTTTAATGTTTTTTTCTTTTAAAAAATATTTTTCTACTTTCTCAGTTTTTTTTGGTGTTTTTTCGAATACTCAGTTTCTTTTTTTTTTGATGGTCGTTTGCTACAATCCGTTGTGAGTGACGTGTTTCCGACTTTTTTTTCCCTTTTGTTGCCCACTCGCGGTGCCGGCGTCACTTCTGCGCGTCCGGCGGACTGCACAAAACGAGGAGTGGAGGAGCAGGCCGGATGCCGCATGGAATATAAGGGATGTTGTGTGGGCTTGTGGGAGGGTACAACCTTTTTTGGTTTTCTTTTTTGTTTGTGCAGGGAATATGTATACGCCCCCGATCTTCTTGTGCTGCATGGCACATGAAAGTCCTGCAGAATCATTTTTTTGTGTTTAAATGTTTTCATTCTTTTTTACGCCCCCATTCTCTCTTTTTTGCTTCTTTTGAGGCAATCACAATGGGCGTTTCTTTTCTGCTCTTCCCTCTTTTAATTGTTTGTTGCTGCACTCTTCCTTCAAGGGGTGCTGTGTGTTTCCCGCCCAACTGCTCCACTCGCACACCCACCGCCACGCTCATGAGGAGGGCCGCGACGAACGGCGCGCTGAGGGAGCCGTGACGTGTGGGCGTGCGACGAGGGCCTGTGGGGCGGAGCACACATTTCTTTCCCTCTTGTTTTGTTTTTGCTGCGCTCACTCTCCCGATGGAGTGACGCGACTCCCGTCATGTCTGCGTGCTTCTCTCAGTCCCCACACACACGAGTGACTGTGCTCTGCGGGCCGCACTCACGCACCAATAAAAGGACTGAGGGGAGCGGCAACACGCAGATGACCCCATGAAATATAAACGATGTGCGGACATACGGAGGGTCGGACGGTTGAAGGATATTTAAATATCTTTTAATTTTATTTTAGGACAAAATGTATGCAGACAATTTCTGGAGCAACATGGTAGTTAGGTGCTTTTTTTGTGTATGTTTTTTTTATTGTGTGGGTGTAGCCGTAATAGGGGACGACTTTTTTTTTTAATTTTTTTTTTTCATTTTTTTTTTCAAAGTGTGAGGGGTTGAAAGGTGAAGATGATTTTTTTAATTTTAATAATTTTTTATGAGTTGCCGCTGCCTCGTATGCAGTGCAATATCATGAGTTTGGGCAGTCTTTTTCCTTATTTCTGCCATGCACCTCTGCTGTACATTTTTGTTTGTGCGTCCCTTCACTTGCTCTGCTCCTGTTTTCACTTCTCTGCCTCGTGTGTCTGCAGGCACACACAACCACATGCACGCACAAGATGCACATTGCAGTGGATTTGGATGCTTCTTTTGTGGCGTGTGCTGACGGTTGCGGGTGGCTGCTGCTTCCTCCGTGGGCATGAAGGGGAGGAGGGGAGAGGGAGCGTGCACGGCGAGTCACTCTTCCTGCGGGTGTGATGCGCGCGGTGGGCTGCGACTGCTGTGGAGGACCGCATC